GATTACACCGAATCTGTAGATAAATATGGATTGAATTTACATCTTAGCAGTGTTAAAATTTCAGATTGATGAACATAATGAATCTCTCCCACTTATTTCCACCGCTTCCATCAGATATGTCTGGTGCTTTTCAGTGTCTAAGTCTTGGACATGTTTTCTTAAACTTATCTCACTACTTATTCATGCTTTCAAGATACATTTTTTGTTTTTCCAATGATTAATTGCTAGCATATAGACATAAAATTGAGTTTTATAATTTGAACTTGTATCTAGCTAAGGGCACTTAGTTCTAGAAGCTTCTCCATAAAGTACAATTTTCTACATATATACACTCATGCCACATGGGAATAAAAATTGTACCTCTTTCCATTATTTTTATTTCTTTTTTCTGGCCTTATTTTACTGGCTAAGATCTCCAGTACAATATCCAATAAAAGTTATAGCAATGGTGATTTTTGCCCCATTCCTAATCTTTGATGGAAAGCATTCACTTTCACGTAAGTATTCACCGTAGCTGGGCGCTTTCTGCAAGAATAAGGTCTGATCAGAACAAGGATGTTCAGTTATATTCTTAAGTTGCTGAGAATTTTTATCATGAATGGGTGTTGAATGTTTTCAAATGCCTTTTCCTCTATATGCAAACGTATTCTTTTTGTTCCTCTAATTAGTCTGCTAATATAGTGAATTATGCTATATGATTTTCACATGGAAAACCAAACTTGCTTTCCAGGGATAAACACCCAATGTGATATACAGCCATATTCTTTTACACATTACTGGCACTGATTTGATGATATGTGTTAATGGCTTTTGCATTTATTCTCCTGAGGGATATTGGTCTGCAGATTTAGTTTTCTTGTAACTCTTGCGCTCAAACTCTTTTGGGTATTTCAGGCCTGATTTGCTGGGTAAGTGTGGAGGCGGCTCAAGGCCTGCTCCTCAGCTTTGCCAGTTGAAAACGTTGTTATTTTGACAGCTCTTGATGAGAGAGACAAGATTGAGGGGCTTAAGTCAAGCTACTGAGACTCATAGCAGCTTGACTGATAAAAGTGTAAATTTATAAAATTTATAGGCATTGTTGGTTGCTTCCCAAATCTAGTCTACCTCTTCCTTTTGCTGGCATGGTCTGTGTGGCCACATGACTGGGGAGGCTGGATCTATTCTCCACTGGGGTTTGGGCCTAATTTATTTTTCTTTTTAAAATTTTTTATTTAAATTCAATTTAGTTAACATATAGTGTATTAGTTTCAGGGGTAGAATTTAGTGATTCATCAGTTACATATAACACCCAGTGCTCATTACATCCAGTGTGCTCCTTAATGCCCATCACCCCATGGCCCCATCCCCCCCACCCACCTGGGCCTTATTTACTTTAAGCCAAATATGCCTGATGCTCCTCAAAACCATCCTGAAAAGTCTTGGTTGACAAACGGAAGATGCAGTCAAAAGGTGGAAACACCTGGGTCCTTGAAGACTTTGAAATACTGACTTTACCAACCTGTCTTGTTTGAGATAAAGTCCCAAAATACTTAAGCCATTTTAGTTGAGTTTTGTGTTTTTTTAATTTAAAAAAAAGCACAAGCATTACAAAGATTATCTAATAGAGAAGTACGTTTTGTAATCTAGTTACAGTGATCAAAACAATAAAGTTTTATTTTATGACCTTTGGAATATTTCAGAGAGAGGAAGAGAAGTATATTAATGGGACTTCTATCAAACTCTGTGAGCCTGATGGCTTGTCCTTTTGCATTCTAGGGATATTGCAGCGCTCAGAATGATAACCAAGAATCTAAACATCCTGACAAGTAGGCAATCCGAGAGACACACGACAAACTTTTCATCCGGTTCCTTCACATCTTTTCACTCCATGCTGCTCACACTTCTTGTATTTGTCACTGCAAAATCAGTGGCCTCATTTTCAGAACACCCCTAGGACATGTTATAATTTCTGTGGTTTCAGATTGTCTTGCATGGGTCATATTTTCACCTGTAGCCCTCATGAAGGGGCTCATTAATTACACCTAGAGAGGCTGGTCCCTGGCAGGGAGGGCGAGCATTAGTAAGCTGAAGCAACCACTGCGGCATGTCTGAGGGCCAGAGAAAAGTGCAAAAGGGTGTTTGCAGTTAGTTATTTTTCACCAAGAAACAGGGAGAAGAAGTTCAGACAGTGGATTACTATAGTAGCCTCTTATCTGGGACCTCTGTTTCTGTCCTTGCCCACCTGTGGTCTATTCAACACAGAGGGACCATAGTAAATCAGTCAGATATTGTCACTCTCAAAGGCTTCCCACCTCTTCAGAGCAAAAGTGGAATTCCTTACATTAGACAAAGGCTGTGCATGATCTGGCCTGGATGCTTATCTCCACTCACTGAGCTCCTGCCACAGTGGCCTCCTTCCTGGTCCTCTAACACGTGGGGCAAGTTCAGGCCTCAGGGCCTTTGCACAGACCCCTTTGCCTGGTGAGTCTCCTCCCAAATATTTACTTGGCCAACTCCCTCCCTCAATTCTTTTAAGTTTTCACTCAAATTTCACCCCAGGGAGCTTTTCCTCTCCCAAATTGGCAATTTTATCTTCCTTCATTGCCTTCCCCCTCCCCCCATGGCACTCCTCACATCTTTTAAAAATTTAATTAATTAGCTAATTAAACTTGTCTATTTATGTAAACAAAAATTTAAGCTCTAGCACAGTAGGGATTTTCATCTGTTTTTGCTCATGGCTCTATTCACTCAAAAACTTGAGTCTTCAAAGGATATTGGCTAAATGAACAGAATGAGTTGAAATCTTGAATCAGCAGGCTCATGATGAGGCAGCAGGATGAAGGTTGGATTTGGAGTGAACACTTTGGAGTGCGGTTGAACATATCTTCCACTTGAACTTTGGTGTAAATGCTGGGTTGAAGTAAATTATGTCTAATCTCAACCTCAGAGATTGCTATTCCTTAAAAAAGACTCTAATCTTCCATTATATTTTAAAAGAACGATAGTTAATAATTTAGTCAGGGTTTCTTAATTTCAGCACTATCAACATTTTGGGACAAATAACTCTTTGTTGTGGGGGCTGTTCTGTGTATCGTAGGGTGATCAGCAGCATCCCCGGTCTCTCCTTACGCGAGGTGTGCTGGTGGCAAGCCCCTCCCCTGAGCTGTCACAACCAAAAATGTCTCCAGACATTGGTGAATGTCACCTGGAGGGCAACACTCTCCTGGTTGAGAACCACTGATATCAGTAATTTTCATATATTCCTATTTGAATAAGGGGTTATATTTTTGATATAAGACATGTAATGGAGTGGAAGTCATGGGGATATCATGCTTACTTTCTCAACCCTGTAGTCTAAGCACATAATGACCGGTAGCAACATTTACATTTGTAAATGTTAAGATAAAGTTTAGGAAGAAATAGAAAATGGATAACCCCTTGTTTAAAGGCCTAGAAACTCTACCCTTCAGGAGTGATAGTGAATGTTGAGAAGTCTCTTTCAGAAAAGAGCTTTGGCAAAATAAAAATAATGAAGAACAATGTGCATTCCTCCCTAATTTATACAGATGAAATCACACTAAAACAAATATGGCTTCACCACTGGGAAAATGGAATCACAAGGGGGAAAGAAGTCACATAAAGTCTGTGAGTAGAGGGGACACAGCTCCTTATTCATTTATTTCTGCTTTAGGATGATATGTGGTGTGTGTATGAAGAGTTTGGGTATAGGGATAGATGGGAGGTTTGTAAGTGAATTTCTGATGCCTCCCCTTTTGAAAAAAAAAATGGTTGGTTGACTGATTAAAAGGTCTACTTGTAGAGACACCTCTTGGACCCTAGTGGGCACCTTCCTGGGACATTTGTCCAGGTAGCAGTCAACGTAAGAGCCCCAAATCTCTGAGAACTACTTGCCACAAAACAGTGCTTCTAATTTGGGGGGTTGAGTATGGTTCTCAGCAAATGTAAATTTTCAGAGTTATTTAAGGCACTTAATATTTACCAAACTGAATTGAAGGGATGTGACCTCAGAACTGTGGAAAATGGAAGTTTATTTTGCAACCATTTGCGGGAGGATGCCATCGAATGATAAATTGGAAGGAAGTAAAAGGAAGACGCAGCAGGCAAGAACTGATGAGTAGCAGAAAATCTCAAAACTCACTTTTTGAAATGTTTGGGGAAATTTGTTTCATACTTCCCAATTATTTTATGCGATACTTTTATCTCATCTGTATCAGAAACATCTATAGGTTATCCAAACAACCCTAGCTGTATTACCTTAGCATTGTTTCTCAAGCCAACATAATGGAAATCCAGAAAGCCAAGCAGCCCAGCCTCTGAGTTTCACTAAGACCAGAGTTTGAGCTACATTGATTAAGCCTCTAAACCCTTGGGTGTCAAAGGCATGTCACTAAGTAGGTCACTCCAGGCACCAAGGAAGCCAAGAAAGGAAAGAGCCCCCTAAAGGAAAGTGGCATTTAATTGGGAACCTCCAGACATCTGTCACTCTTGGTGACAAGCGCAAGAAAGGACTTCACACATTTGTGACGCGCAGGTGGGACGGGACTGACAGCTGGAGGAACTGGAGCTGGGTGCAGGGGAGGGTGTGTGCGCGTGGGGAGAAATGAGAGGCTGCTTTTGAAGACTGGGCTCTTTCATCCCGAATATCATTTGAAAAAAAAAATGGGGCCCAAATTGTATCCTAAAATGCTATCAGCTGCCCATTTAAGCGATCCCCCTTGTGAAGCCGGGGTGCGCACGCACCTAAAGCACAGGTCGGGCCGAAAGTTTGGACAAGAAAGGTTGTGCGGGGCTCTGCTCCCAACAAAACAATGTTTCATCTCCGGGCCTCTTGGTTCAAACCCGTGTGCTCGCTCCTGCGGGGAGAGAGCGGCCCTGGAGACTCCTGCCTTTAATGAGCTTCCCAATCAGCTCGCGAGGGAAAGGCGCGCTCCCTCCCTCGCCCAGCCCGCGTCCTCGCCCTGCCCGCTCCGCTCATCCCTCCCCTTCTCCATTTCCCTTCCGTTCCCTCCCCGGCAGGGCGCAGCGGAGGCCGAGGCTGGATCGGGTTCCCCGCCTGCCCGTCCCAAATTCCGCCGAGGGAGCCGCCGCGCGGAGGACGAGCCGAAGCGGGCACAGGGGAGCGGGAGCCCGGGCCGTCAGCGTCCGGCAGCGAGGGCGCAGCCAGCGGCCACCCGGCACCCGACCGAGCGCAGAGCCTCGCCGCGTTCAACAAAGGCAGCCCGAGCGCGTGCGGCGTTTGCAACTCCAAGTAAGTGGGAAGCAGCGCGATTCTCGGCGGCGGCCCCGGGCGACTTTCCTTTACCCTCGCCCACTTGTCCGGGTGCCAGCCGCTGATGGCGGGACGAGTGGCAGAGAGGCTGCCTGGTAGTCCCTGCGAGGGGGCTGCCTCCAAAACGGATTTGCTCCGGAGGCCAACTGAGGCATAGCTGGCCGGGGAGGCGGGGGCAGGGGGGTCGGGTCTGGGAGTCAGGGTGCGGGTAGGTGAGTGGGAGGAAAGCAGCTTGGGTCCTGCCTTGCATGCCTGTGCACCGCGCGCCTGCTTGCAGCGGGACACCACGCCGGGGCTTCGCGCTTTGTAAAAACCTGCCTTGGGAGGTGTGTCTGCGGCGCCTGAGCCGGCGGGGCTCGGGGTCCCGGCCTTTCCCCGCGTCTCCGCCTGCACCTGGGCTTGCCAGCGGCGGCCTCCGCGCTGGCTCCTGTGGGTTCTCTGCGGGGGGCTGCTCCTCCCAGGGCCGGGGGACAGCGAGAATCCCGCACGGAGCCGCGACACTCCTGGTCTTGCCCGCCAGCCCGGGAGGGGCTCTAGAAAGGGTCACATCCAAAGTTTAAAAGACACACCTTAAACCCGTCTCCTCATTTGAAGGCTACCTTTAATCACCGCCCTGGACGCAGGCACTTGAACTTTGCAGCTCACGTACATAAGGGTGGGGTATGTTTATTACTAATTTGCCGGATACTTAGTTTCTAAGAAATTAACGTTTTTAAAGCAAGGAACGTACTCACCTCCTTTCCTCCTTCCCATGCAAAACCTCAAACTTCCTGTCTTGAACACACACACACAGACACACAGACACACCTCTTTCTCCTTAACAAAAACACACAGAACACACACCTCTAGTTTATACACAGTTTGCTGTTAACTCCTTTTATCTATGTTAACAGCTGCTTTGTAAGTTTGGGGATACATTGAAAAAAAATAGGAGTGGCATGGGGAGCGGAGAGGAGGCAGATGAGGGAGAATCAACAATGGGCGGGACATCAAAGTTTCCCTCTGAGCATCTTTCGTCTGGGTGGGCATGTTGTTTTAGCAGCTTGAGAAAGGTGGTGTGTGCCTGTGAGTGTGGGAGCAAGGGCCTGGGAGGAGGTTGAGGAGCTACCAAGAAGAGCTTTTGGACTAGTAACATAAGGAAGCAGTTTCATGATTCCAGGCAAATGTGAAGCTGATGAAACAGTAGAGCCCATTTAGCCCCTTGATTACTGGGGACTAATTGATATGTGGAGATATTTCAAGGTATTGATAGCGAAACAAAAGAAGTGTCTCCCAGCACAAAATAAAGCATGCATTTTCCATCTTCATTATGTGCCTTTTTAAGTAAATTATGCACTTTAAAGACCAAATCATTAAAAAACACTCACAGTCCAGTTAAATTCAAAGGAAATTAGAGCGGGTATTAGCTCTTTTCCCCTTTTGGGCTATGGGTTCCTTTAGAGTGAAGATACTCGTACTTTCTCATTGAAACTAGAGCAGATTTTTTTCTTATTTAAACAACAACAATACCCTACTTCCATTATTCTGTGCTTTAAGAAACTTTTGTGCTGTGAGTTCTCTAACTGTGCTTTACATCTTCAGAAGGTAATCTCCACCCCCCCCCCAACCCTACTGTTCCCAGGCTCCCTTTAGGACAGTTTTCTTCTCATGAGTGAGATCTGTGAGGAGTGCCCACCTGAAGCCATACAGGACCACAGTAGGTGCTCTCTTTCAGCTGGTCACGTGGGGATACAACTGCATTGTATTTTCTTTGTTTTAAAGATTGATTTATTTGAGAAAGGGAAAGAGCGCGTGCAAAGGGCAGAGGGAGAGAGTCTTAAGCCGACTTCGCACTGAGCACAGAGTCCCACGCAGGGCTCATTCCCACGATCCTGAGATCAGGACCTGAGCTGAAACCAGGTGGGGTCGCTTAGCGGATTGCACCGCCAGGCTCCCCGCGTTGTATTTTTGAAGAGGGAGCAGTGTTAATGCCCAATTAACATCCTGTTAATATATAACTTGTATTACCTGATGTTTAAATGAGGTATTACAGAGAATGAGGATAATTTAACAGTACATATAATATATATTATATCATAATACATAGTTCTGTGGTTTCCTAGACCTCTTTGCATGATATTTGGAGTAATAAATTTGCACATTTATTGAGAGCTTCAGTGCACCTCATTTGGTCTTTACATACAGCAATATGTAGCAGGACACACTTTTTTTTTTTTTTTTAAATGGGCATTTTTTTTCTCTAGTAAAGCCAGTTGCCTTGTTTGAATTTTTCACGAAACTTGATCTTTGGAAATAACCTGAGAGAAATAAGGTCCCCAAATAGTTTAATCCCTTTTATCAATAAAATCAATCTTAGAAATGAAATATTTTAGGTTTAGATGCTTTTTTTCCCCCCTTTAAAGATACTCTCGCTTTCTCATTTAAATGACCTCTCATCCTCTGATGAGAACCTCTGATCCTTTCTCACATGTGGTGTTTTTTTTGGGTTTGGTTTTTTTTTTTTAATCACTCTTCAAATTTTCTCAGGAGACTGAGTTAAATGGTTTGTGTGGTTAGCTAACGGCAGATCGAAGGCCAGAAGTCAAAATTCAGAGTATAAAAGTTCTCCACTCTTGCTTTTAATATGGTGGCGTAGGGCTTTGGGGAGTGGTCCTTGACTTCTCTCCTGAAGGTAATATCCACATTGAAAGCACCCAGGGGGATCAGAGAGCAAGCATGGTCTACACCTGAGTGCCTTGGAGTCTAGTTTAAGGTGTGGCTTACTCTGGAGCCCTAGGGGGAGTCCAGGCTCTGTGCCCTTCCATTGCTGGGATGCTGAATGGGGCTCCTTTAAAAGGTTAAGGCTGCCGTTCTAATGAATAATCAGAAGCACTTCTGTCTCCTCTTGGCACAAGGCCATGCCTTTGCTCTGTGTAAGGTAATATTCAGATACGGATCTTCTCTTTATGAGCTGGGCCGGCTTTTTTCGATCCAGAGCCAACTGGCCTGAGTGGGATTTGGGCCACAGCCTGACTCTGGAAAGTTGTTCTTCATTCCTGATGTTTATGGCCAATTCAAGTTTCCATCCATCGAGCCATTTTTCCACCCACTTCATGCCAGTCTCATATGTGGCAGAGTTCTCAGTGTCATACGATCTTCCTAGGTTGTCAAATATAACAAGGCTTTCGTTCTGCCCTGTTTTAATATTTGGTAAAAAAAAAAAAAGTTAAAATGTCTGCGGTTTAAAAGAGTAGCTATAATGTGACATCATCAGAGGGTGTTATATTTATGGTAACATTGTGGATTCGATTATGTAGATCACATTTGCCACGAATCCCTATTTCTTCAGCATAGGCAAAGAATACAGTAAATAGTTGATGCTTGAGATAGTTTGAGAAATAAAATTTAATTTCTTCTGGGATTTGTTTTTTTAACCATTTCTTCACAGTGGGTTTAGGTGAAGTGACATATCAAAAAAAAAAAAATCATCATGATGTATTTCCTAAAAGCAGAATTCTTAGATTCCTAAACATCATACTTAGTAAAAAAAAAAAAAAAAAGTCAAATTTTGTATATGAATCTTGAAAGAAGTGAGTCATCGTAACTGACTCTTAATTCTAAGAAATGTGCTTAGTACAAACCAAAATGTCACTTAAAAGGCAAATAGCATGCTGTATTCCTAACCTTTTGTTTCCACTTCTTCCAACTTTAACACTTCCCTATCCCCCTCGTCTGGCTCTCATTACTCCCTTCTATTCATCCAGTGCCATCATTTCCCATTTAACAAGTCCCAGGGTGTCTTGCCCAATTCCTTTGCCATATCTGTGGTGGTGTATACACCTTCATGTACCTATGTATCGGGAAGGGTTGCCCATATCTTGGGATTCATGGAAGGCTGGGCTTTTTTTAGCTGAAATTTTCACATTTTTCTGACCTGGTTCACTGAAATCTGGTTATTGGTCCAGTGTGCTCTCTGTGGACTACCCTGGATTGTTTCCCTTTTGATTAAGACCCTGGCTAGGATCAGTTTATGCTTTCATCACTATGAGAGGTGTTGGCTTCATTTTCCTCTAGTTTCTCAACTTCAGTGGAGCCAGGATTACTCACCTCCATCCCCCCAGGTCCTCCCTCAGCAATGCAATGTTTCTTGCTCCTATGACGAGTCAATTTAACCATAATAAACAGTTTTTATTATATAAATGCTAGCTGCCTAATACCGTGCTAGACAATGTAATATGCTCAAGAAATAGTTTCTTTTCTCTAAGGCTTACAGTTTTACAATTCCATTTGTATATGGAAATGGTGCTAACTTGTGAAATCCTTTATTACAAATACATTTAAAAGAGATGTCAGACAGTGAAAATCCATTTATAGCTTCCCCCCCCCCAATCTCTGGAAAAACACTTTAAAAGTTACAGGTCATTTCATCAAACAAATGGCTTGCCAACGCTGCTTTCTTATGATTATCTGATTATCTTTTAGTGCAACCTCCCTGACATATTAACTTTCTCCAACTTCCTTGGCCACTCCTCTCAGCATTTTTTTTTTTTTTTTTTGCTGCTTTTCCCAACTTCCAAATGTAGACATGTGGACATTCATTTCCAAATATTTAGATCTCGCCCCCTACCCCTCCCTCTCTCTCCAAATGCTTCAGTATTGATCATGACTCTTTGAGTTTCTACTCCAATTTTCATGAGAGAACTCTCAAATCTCTCCATTCTCTATTGAGTTTTGGTGTCACATCTAAAATTTTTTTTTTTTTAAAGATTTTATTTATTTATTTGAGAGAGAGCACATGAGAGGGGGGAGGGTCAGAGGGAGAAGCAGACTCCCTGCCGAGCAGGGAGCCCAATGTGGGACTCAATCCAGGGACTCCAGGATCATGACCTGAGCCGAAGGCAGTCGCTTAACCAACTGAGCCACCCAGGCACCCTAAAATTTTTTTTTAAATGAATACTAAAGGGGATGCTTTGAGCACAATCCTAGTTGGGGAAGGAGAT